CATATATATATATATATATATATATATATACATATATATTATTATATGCTTTTATTTATGTGCATTAATATATTCCACGTTTTCGATGTTTAGCAGCTGCTTGTTAACTTAAGTACACTTTAACTCTTTATCAATTTGCCTTCGCATAAAGTGACCATGGAGGACGGCGCTTGTGCAGCTTAATTTTAGCTGGCTTTAAGCTGGCAGTTACAGAAGAAACCTATAAAAATTCATTTAACGCATAGGCGTCCTCCATGTTCTTTACTTTATTGGAGTATGGATTAGGTTACTTTCATTATTAAGTTTACTTTCATTATTAAGTTTCAAGCTAATTTCTATACTAGCTCATGCTTGCTGCTGCTTGTACCAAGTTCTCCATTGTCATTTTTATTCGAATGCGGAAAAACTTGCCAAACGGCGTAAGACGACGCTTGGCATAATGTAAAGAAAATCAAATGGCATTGAGTAAAAACTGCAAATGGAAACTGAAAGAAAACATTGAGTGTTCTAAGTGAATACTCGAATTATTCGCTGTCTCATTCGCACCCAAAAAGTTACTTCCTATGAAAAGTTAAACGTTCGTTGACTTTTTTCCGTTGCAAGCAGTTGCGCTTGTCAACAAAATAATTTAACTTTTAATTGAATTAAGTATGGAAAACTTGTATGAGAAGCGCAAAGAGCAGCGCGCATCTTATAAAAGGAAACAGAGGGATAAACAGATAGACAAAGAGAGAGAGAGGGAGAGAGAGAGAGAAAGAGAGACTGAAAGATTGAGAGAATTTAAAAGTTGAAACAACTCTTAAACTTTATTTAATAAGATAAGAGGGGACGATATTGCTTGAACTTGACAAACAGTCAATTTGGCTTGCATAAAATCATAACTTTTGTTGTATTTTGACTTACCGGAACTTTGACTTGACGAGATTTTGACATCGAAGAAGTCTGATTGCCGAGAACATTGATTTCCAGGTAGTCTGACATTTAAGTAAATGAAATTCCTGGGATTTTTGGCAATCAAGTCCCGGAAAATTCCTGGGAATTTACTAGGGATTTGTATTTCAGATAGTTCCAGGTACTTCCAGGAACACTGACCGTGAGGAAGCAAGGCTTCCAGTAACTTTGAACTATATGTATATCAATTTCAAAGACTTCCAGGTACTTCCAAGAATTCAGCCTTAAAAGCACGAAGGCTTCCTAACTTTGACTTCTAGAAATATTCATTTAAGGGAACCAAGACTTCCAGTAACTATTGCTTTAAGTGTCTTTGACATTTCAATTGTCGGCTTTCCAGAGACTTTGGCTTCCAGTAATTAAGACTTTCAGAGATTTCTAGGTGGTTATTTCTAGGAGCGGGATCGCAGAAACCAAGACTTCCAGTTAATAATTTGAAGTGTCTTTGAAATAAGATGTTTAGCTTTCCAGTGACTTTGGCTTCCAGTAACTAAGACTTCCAGAAATCTGGACCTTTGACTCTTGTGAACATTGTACCGTTGTACTAGCACATTTTGCTTCTGCTGTGCAACCTGTTCCTCCGCATCAATCAACCACAACGTAGTCAAAATGACCAATAAACATTTTGTCCATTCGATGATTGCAAAATGCAAAAAGCGCAAGATAAGAGCTCACACGCAGACCGCAAAATGTTTTGCAAGACGCAACCAACAACAAAACCAAATAAAAGACACCGAAACAAAGAGATGCAGAAAAAGAAGAGGAAGAAGAAGAAGAAAGAATTAGACATGACAACGACAAAAAAAGATGAAGAAAAAACAAGAACCGCGATAGGTCAGGTCTGTGGGTCTGCAGGGCAACCTTAATGCAATGCGACTCGTTTCAGGGGTGCCGCCCCCTTCCCTCCCCCGCCACCTTCCTCCTCCACAGACCTCAACTGAAACTCAAGACACTTTGCGACAGTGTTGAGTAACGCCCACAGAGCACTCGCTATTTAACTTAATGAGACCAAAGCGAACCGTAGAAAGAGATTTCAGCTGTAAATTTCTGGGCCCGCAAAAGTTTCTTTACTTAAGAGCCAACTAATTTGAGATGATGTAAGTTGGGGAAGTTAGAGAAGTGTTTCTTTTCAGCATAAACTTAAGACATAGAATGGTGCTTTTAATAAGAGGGAATAGAAGCGAGATACTTGAAAAAAAAGAGAGAGGGAGAGAGAGAGAAAGAGAGAGAGAGAGCGATACTACAGTAACTAATCCAATTCTCAACTCGATTTTTACCATTTATATTTTTCTACACTTTTCCTATTTCGGCTCCTCTTCATTTTTTTTAACGACTTGACAAATTTCAAGTTTGATTTCGATTGTGTTCTACAAAGTTGCTTTCGATTATTATTATTGCAATTGAGGAAGAAAACTATCGGAAAGAGTTCTCAGTGTAATAAAAATGCCTCATTTGCATGCGGTCTAAAATTTCCAAGTACCTTTATATAGCTTTATATTAAACTTTGAGGTTAACTACTTGAGAACCGGTACGTTTATGATTTCGACTGTAAAAAGCTATACGAGAAAATAAAGAAAATTGAGATTTACCGCTTGCTTTGAACAACCCTAATATAGACTTAATAATATATGTATTACAGATATAAAAAATATGATATATTTTCGACAACATCTTAAATATATTAATATTAATAAGCCAAAACAAGGTTTTCTTAAAAATTAATATGAATAACAGATTGTTAAATATGTTATATATTTAACTATATAAAATAATCAAAAAATAATCGAGGCCAAAAACAAGATCTTCCTATTTTCATATTTAGAAATAGATTAAAGAATTAAAAGTAATACAAATAATGAATAACTGGATTGTTTATGATTTTGTTTTGTTTTCACTCCCTGAATCTTAAACATTTCAGCTTCACATATTTACAATTTGCGCTTAATTTCTGCACACTGTATTTCATGCACTTTTCACACAGCTGTGTACCACTGTGCAGACGGTGTTGATTCTCTCGTCTTTGACTTAACAAGCGGGAAGGTCATAAAACAAAAGCCTTAACTTGTGCTAAGAGTTGCATTTAAAACGTGGCTGAAACTCTGACTATATCTTTATGTCTCTCTATATATTTATATGTGTATATATGGCTTTATATATATTTCTTCTTAGGCCAATCTATGCAAAATCGAATGCCTCAGGCGAAGGTTGCCGCTCGGCGCATTTGCCACATCATGTTGCAGTCAAGTTTTTCTTCATTTTTTTTTTTAATTAGAGACAAGCAACAACAACGACAACAACAGCAACAACAACTGAGACAACAAATGCATTATGCATTTTGCAGTTACAACATAAATTGTTAATAATGGGCCTCAGGTCTCTTATAGAGAAAACATTTTGAATGCCAAATGAGCTGCCGCCAACGTTGCAAAGGGAGCTGCGAGAGGTTTTAGCAAAATGAAAGAAATATCGAAAGACCCAACCCCAGAGAAACCCAATGTTTGAGTTCCATGGAATGTCGTCGATTTGAGTCCAGAACGCGTTTGGCTATAAACCGGTTTCAATGGAGCCGCCGCCGCCACATAAGATTTAGGTAGCTTATGGATTGTATTTTTTTTTACAATATTTTATAGGGTTTGTGGTCAGCACGGGTCACAGTCGATGCGAGGCTCGAGCTCGAACTCGAACTCGGACTCGGACTTGGACTCGAGGCTCGAGCCCTGTGAGATAAGAGTAGCATTTGCCGAGTCTGAGTCACGTTCAGCACTTTTTTTGGCTTTGGCTCTTTCGTGGAGATACGAGACGTGCCTCGAGTTGTGTGTGTACTTTTTCGGATTGGGTAACATTCGCATAGACGGGCAGAAACAAAAAAAAAAAACAAAACAATGAAACAACGGCAACATTCGCATTGTAAATCATGAGATAAATGATAATCGTATGCTATATTTATGCTATACTCTTATGTCAGTCATAGAATCCGTATAGGAAGTCGCGCAACGACTTCAAATAATCATAATTTATTCGCAAAGTGGGCTTCAGCTTGCCATTGTTTATTTTAAATAAGATCTATCAACAGATTTGCAAATCGAGCCTGATTGGTTCACATAGAGAATGTCCAACGGAATGTAAAAAAAACTTGAATATCCCATTACGATTCTTATTGGAAAATCAACATCAGAAATCAAATATCTGAATCGGATTATTGTTAATGTTAACATTAACCTTGCCTAACATATGTTATTCCCAATGGGTCCTTCGAGTTCCATTGTAACCTTATTAACTCAAAATCTTCCCTGCTAACAACTGCTAAATTTGTATCATTTTTCCGAAAATGTATCATTTTTCCTAGAATCTTAAACATGACCTAAAACTTTTCCAATTCCAAATATTCGGTCAAGGACTTTCAACGCATTCCAATTAAACTTTAGCCAATGTCAAGGCTTAAAAAATTGGTTTCAATCAACAATTTTAGCTCTTAAGCAAGACTTGTGCCAACAATAATTTTAAAAAATTACAAATTTCCACAAAAAAAGCACAAGAAATTATGGCATTTAGTCTATAAATAAATAATTGCTTTGTGCGAAAAACAATTTAAGGCCCGCGGCGATTTCGACATGTGCCAAAAAATAAAAGTGCTAAAGCAGCAGCAAAAACAACAAAATCGACAAATCCAAATCTAAAGCACGGCGAAAAAAGTAGGTGTAATTAAAAAAACAACAACAACGGTGGGGCGAATAGAAGTAGCAAAAACAACAACACCAAAAGTGATGTTGAAAGTCGTTTTGCAAGTTTGAGCTGAGCTTTAAACTGGACAGCGTACTAGAGCAACGAGAGCGAAGAGAGGAGAGAGAGAGCGCGTAACAGCAGCACTTGACGTCGACAGCTCTGCTTATAGAACACCAAGAGGTGACTTACCGAAAAAAAAAACAAAAACAAATGCAAAGCTTAAAACTGTTCAATGTATTATCGCAGAGCGACAGAGCGCGGCGCAGCAACAGCGCTGCTTATAATACACACATACATACATACATATAGAACACACTGGGACTTACCAAAAATTTTGTTATAGTTGCTGTTGTTGTTATGCTGGCCGCTTCCAATTGGGAAAATATAATCAGCTTTGGTTAATATTATTATTTGATTTCAATATGCGCGCCTTTGAGCAACAATTATTTATTTAGCGCGCTTATTAACTTAACGCACATCTGCGACTGCGCGATTGAATGGAATTTTTATATTTTTACTTTATTATATTTCTATATATTTCACACTTTCTTTCCAATTAGCACTATTAAATGCTTACTATTATAAGCTATCAATAGCAATAAATTTTCAGTGCGATTTCCAATTAGCAAATTAATGGAACTTCACATGCACATACACTTTTTTATTTGCACTTTATTTTCGATTTCGTTACGTTTTCCACGCGCGCGTTTCCTGTCGCACTTGTTGCTTGGGCCAAAAATTTCGCTTTATTAAACAGCTTGCAGCTGCTCTATATACAAAAATATACACTCACAAATAATTCTTATTTGTTTATTAACAAATTCACCTAAGTTTAGTTTATTTTTTGGCGCACTATGAAACAGGAGACGCGCCAATATAAAAGTTTTGCGCAGCGACAGCGAACACACGACCGCACCGTTCAATGGCTCTCACTGAAATGCGCTGCGAAAACGAAAACTACGTGAGCACTGCCGAGAGAGAGAGCTCAATTGGAGTTGCGACGTCGACGTCGGCGCTCAGTGCAGCAGCAGCAGCGGCTGACTATGTTAGCCGCGCATGTCCAGCGGGCATTAGGGTGTTTCATGTGGCGAAATGAGTTAATTAAAGAGGTGCTTAAGTAAATTGTATACTAATTTAATGCAGTTATTAATGCTTGAGGGCATAAGTATACCAATAATATGGTAGTAGTGCCTTACACCAAACTTTTACTTTTACTTAACGTGTTTTAAATGCCTTGCTTTGGGTAGAGCATTTAGCATACTGTGCTCTTTAACAAATCACTGTAAACTTGTTTCAGGCAGCGACGCCCACGCCGCTGTTAACGCCAGCGCAGCGCCAACAGCCGCCAACAGTGCCAGGAAATCAGCTGGAATTCTTTGAAGGGCGTTGCACAGTGATAAGCAAAAGTAAACGCCTCCTAAATGATAGTCCGTACCAAATACCAATTTTAAATTAATATTTATACACCCATTTTTTACAGCCAAAACACGCAACTGTTTGCGTGCCAATAAATAAACTCAATTAGTGATTTTAATGCAACGTTTATCTCAGAGCTGTGAAAATATAGTGAAAGTCAATTAGAGACGGCGATTCGATATATAAACTATTTTTTTGATTTTGTTTAGCCCAAAAACAATTTGCACGAAAAGTGTAAATCCATTTAACCTATCCATAATATGACCACAATTATGATAAGAACTAATGCAATATGCCATGCTTCCAATCGATAATGATCAATTGCGGCTTGAATCGCTTCAGGGGAGCTGAAATAAATAGAGGGGAGAATAAGATCATATTAGTATCGAGTTTTAGTTTTATAAAGTTTATAAAGTGAAAATAAATTAAAGATTTTTTAACTGAAACATAGTTTAAAGAGCTGTTTATATGTAAGTTCCGATCGATTTGACACAAAGCTATAACCATATATAATTGTATATTATCTTACTTAGGATTAAAACTCTCCATAGTTTTTTTTTAAATAACAAAACTCTCCTCAGACCTTAAAACTGTTAATTTAAAACGTTGGACAGACAGAAAATTCTGATCTAAATTTAATTTTAAAAAACTTTTGAACGTTTTTGACGAAAAATCTGTTAATAATCGAAACACAATACAATTTCTGATTAATCTTGAACATTTTCGATCAGTTTACTAAGTTTATGTAGAGTTTTTTCTGTATTTTCCAAATATGTAATATTTTAATGAGAAAAACTTGAAAATACTTAAGACTTCAACAAATTACCCAACACTAGGGCGATATTCTTAAGATCAAATGCGAATGGAAATAGGTAATTTTTTAATTAAATATAATAATATAAAATGTATATTAGATAATTTAATATATACTAAAGAATTACACTTGAGTTTTATAGATCCGAGCTTGATATATCATATATGTATATACATTGATCAGTTAAATATCATGTATAATATATATAATGCTATTGCATTAATTATTACATACATGGCAGAGGAATCCTCGTGAGAATATAATGAGATGACATTGTGGAGGAATCAGTTACATATCATATGTTGTATATCATATTGTAGATCGCATCATATAAAATTCTATTACATTTGGTAACGAAATCTTCTTGAGAATATAATGATATGATATATAAATAAATAAATATAATATAATATATATAAATCAATAACGTATCATATGTTATATATCATATGGTAAATAGCGTCATATTCAGTTCTATTGAACTATTTTATAGATATATTGAAGAGAAATCTCTCTCCTTGAGAAATGATATATATAGATAAGGAATCAGTTGGATATCATAAGGCATATATGACATTGTAGATGATATCAAATAAAATTCTATTGCACTGTTCTTTACATTAATGGAAAAGGAATCTCTCTCCTTGAGATCAACTGATCATGTGTCATATATAAAAATGTATATAACATTACATCAAATTTTTTTTTAGATATATGGAAAGGGAATCTCTCTCCTTCAGCATATAAAAATATGATATATGTATATAGATAAGGATCAGTTGCATATCAGATAACATATTGTATATCATATTATTTTACTATTATTTTTTACATGCATAGAGAGAGGCACCCTCCTCCTCGAGTCTCACAATCTCTGACTACTTATACATTTGTTTGTCCTAGTCAATGCTTAATTTGAATAATACCCACATATTAGAGCGTAACGCTGTTCCTTTTGCAGGGCCAGATAGTCGACATTGGGTCCGGTCAGATGCTGTGTGGTGCCGCCCATTAGCTCCGGCAACCAGATCTCGTCCAGCGATGCGAGCAGCTCCGTCAGAATGCCATCGTATTGGCGCTGTAGCGCCGCCGCCTGGAGATCCTCGGTGTGCAGCTGGAGGAGCGCTTTGCATGTGTCACGCACAAGCTGCTGCTGCTGCTGCTGGCCAAGCTTCGTGACTTGGTTGTGCAGCGCATCGATGAGCGCGATATCTTCGAAGGGGTTGCCCGGCTTCAGGCTGAGCAGTTTGCGTTCGTGTTTGCGTCGATTTTTGCTGGAGCGAAATGTTTTTCTGCACCAAAACGAAAGAAAGTGAGTACCAAAAAAAAAAACAAACAAAAGAAAAAAAGAAGAAAATAAAACTTCGATGCAGTCAGGTGCAACAGCAAGTGACTCCTTACCCGGTGCCCCGCGAGCTGCCGCTGTGCCGCGACGAGCTGATGCTGCTCGTCTCCGACAACAGATCGACCTCATCAATATCCAACTCGTGCTCCTCGCCGGCATCCGCTGCCGTCGCCTGGCGCTTGCGTATGTCCAGCAGACGCTGTTTGTACTCCACGAAAAGGTCGCGATCTGCACGCAGTGAAGCCTCCAATTGTGCGACATATGCAATGAGCGCGGGCTTGACGCGTTTATCTGATTGGATGGAGGTGAATAAGTTAGCTGAGTATAGACTGGATTTAACAAAATGCCATTTCAATACATGACATGGCTTTGAATTGGCGTTAAAATTATCTAATAAGATGTAAAAGTGTGAAACACGTCTTACATGAATATTTCAAATGACTTTGTAACATATCGAATAAAAAGAGTTTCATGCAACCAGTTTCCACTTATTTTTCACACTTGCACGTGGAACTATCCAAAAACAACCTTCTAGCATTCACTGCAAATAGAAATTCAGCTCTTTCTTTATTCAGTTGGGATCGCAATTTTTCAGCTTATATATTACAAGCATAAATTACCCGGCCTTGCACGGGTCAAGCTTTACGCAAAGCATAAAGCCCATGGAAAATTTAAAGCTAAGCACACTTTCTGGAAAGATAACGTCACAAATTATGTTTTAAAAAAAATTTTTGCGGAAAAGAGTTTCCAGACAAACGAATGAAGAGCCAAAAGTTGGAGTCAATGTTTCCGCCTGGTTTGCACTTCAAAAATCGTTTAAAATAAGTAAAAGTAAAAATAACTAAACTTTCGCTCTTATTACGGCCTATTTAGAACTATTTTTCATCCAAGAGAAGTGGACTTTTTAGCCGAAATGTGATAAACAACTCTGAAATGGATTTTAACAAAGATCTTTAGTTAGAGGAACTTCTCAAAAGCCCATCCTAGCAAGCAGCTCTATGATATATAGAGCTGCCCTATATTATATTCGAATATATAATTGTGAGCTGGCATTTAATCTTGTAGCCACATTTAAAAAACTTTATGTTCCTTTCACAGTGACTTTTATTCAAATCGATTTGTGCATGAAAAAAATTTTATTTTTTAGTTTTAATGCTGATGATGGGTTTCCCCTGTTGGCCCATCGTCCTTTGTTCGTTCATTCATAGTTTTATTAAAACTGAGGAATCCGAGGCATGTAACCCGCATGAGGTCCAACGCGTACCTCATCCTCTGAGCGCACATCGCGCTGAGTACGCGGCATGGCAGTATAAACTGATTTTTTCAATTCATCACCATGGCGATGACAGCCAAAGCGTTCCGCCCGCTGTCCCAGGACGGCGAGCAACAAGATTGCGAAAATTGCAAGCGTTAAAAACTTCATGATATCGGCTTTTGATTTGAAGCTTCCAATCTTGAGCAGTCCATATTTATACCCCAAGTCTAACTGAGACTCCATTTGGCTACCTATTTATCGAAATTGATGGACTATTATTCATTTGGTTAGGGCCTCGACAATTTGCTCTTATCTAATGCAATTACCGAAATCCGAAGTAGAACTTTTTGGGATCGTTAAGACTTGAACTTTATTTCACTGCTGTCAGTTGTAAACATTTCCAAAATTTAACCATTTAGCTTTTTTCATCAACTAGAGTTGAAAATGTATTTACTATTTATTGATTTACAAGCATTTTCATTGATGAACTGATGAAACACTTGTTCATATATTAACGTTTTAATATTCCTTTGCTTTTAAAGCAGCTTCTGATTTGTAAGAAAAATACTGTTCTGGAAACTATTTGTTATATAAAAATAGTTTTATATTTAATCAATTCAATTTCATCAATTTATTGCATGTGAGTTATCAAATATTAATGCACAAAAAGTCTTCAAAGACAATCACAAGCAAATTTTATCAGGATTCAATACAAATTTGTGGAATATTTCGGGGAATCAATGCAAGGAATTATAAAACTTTCAAGCGAGCATTTACAAACCAGCTAGTCTTACGAATTTAGCTATTTTCTAAGCTGATTTAGCTATTTTTTGCCATGTCAGTAGCAACCAACCCTGTTTCCTAAGCTAATTCGGCTATTTTCAGCTATTTTTATGAAGCGTGAACTGGTCACACTGATTAAAGCAAAACAGGCTTAAATGCAAGCAATAAGTACTTTTTAAATTCGAAACATTGTTTTTGGCCAGTTTCAATATTTTAAATAATTCTGCTTTCAAGCAAAACCTTAACTTCAAGCGATGCCGATTCCAACCAGCTATAAATCCGCTATAAAACAGTTTAAAGCCAGGTACCAAACCAAGCAGATCGCTTGAAAACTTATTTTACACAAGTTATTTGGAGACTTCCGAGGAGTTAACTTACCCAACAGATCGGCTGTGCCGTCTACGTCCAGCAGGCCCGCCTCGTAGATGGCACGCCCGTAGAGATGGCCGTGCAGCAGGACGTCCAGCGGCGCCTCACTGGTCGGCTCTTCAAACCGTTTGAGCAGCTCGTAGGCTTCCAAATGACGATCGTGTTGCTGGAGCGGCGCCACCAGTGAATTGGCCACCTGGGCCAGTGGCTCAGCGGCACGCTGTGCCAGCCTCAGGACACGTTGCCAGTCGAGTGTGTGGCGGGCGCTAAGCAGCGCCTGCTGCAGCTGTCCGCCCCGCTCGTACATAAGACTGGCGGCCTCCAGTTGGGCATTGGCGCGCAAATGATCCGCATAGGCGATACAAATGCGCCGATGGAAATCCTCCTGAGCCTGATAGGCGACCAGAGCCTGGCTATAAAGATTATGCTTTTGTATGAAATCGAGCGCCAGATCATAATGCTCCTCGCCACATTCAGCCAAATGATTGAGAGCACGTTCAAAGCGCTTCAGATGCTCATCGATCTTGAATTTGCGATAGTTCAGCGGCAAGGCCTTCAGCTCGTTGAGATAGGGCAAAAACTCTTTGGGATCCTTTTGCGATTGCTCGGCAACGAACAGGACCAGGCCAAAATGATAGGTGCCCAGAGCGGCATTATACAGTTCATTCACATCGACCAAATAGAGCAGATACTTGAGCAGCTGCTCCCCCAGCTGGGCATCCGTCTGCTTGTGCCGCCAAATGTATTGCAATGCATGCGGCAGGCTGCCGGCCTTCACGTAGGCGGTTATAATGGGCAGTCGATAGCGTGCCATTAGCGCGGGATCTGTCGCCTGGGTCATGTGGGCGATCAACAGGGCGCATATCTTTTGCACCTTCTGCTTGACATTGTAGTCGGGCGGATAGTGTTGCTGCGTTGCGACATAGTTGCCGGCGTACATGCCCAGCGCATAGTCCTCGTTCTGCAGCTCGCTAAGGAACAGGCATATCCATTGGGCGTCCATAATCTGGCGCAGAAACTTATCCACATTGGCACGAAATTGCTCGACATTGTGGTCACAGATGATGTTCAGATTGATGCGCTGTTTTCGCACTATTCGCATTGCCTCGTCGTATTGATAACGCTCGAGTTGCCTGCCAATTAGGCCCAGTGCCAGGACACGGGGACAGATCACCTCCAGATTACCGCGTGGCAGCTGCAACACCAGCCGGGCATCGCTTGCTGATGTCACCAGCTTGGCGCCACGCTCAATGCTGCGCGTGGACACAGCGCTTTTATCCAACAGCCGCACGAAGTGCAGCGAATTCAGCTGTGTATAGACCAAATAATCGTCGACCACACAGATTGAGGTCACATCCTCGTCAATCCGCTGCCCATCTATATGTAGCAGCTGCTGCGAGCGCAGCGTAATGAGTTTGCCTGCAAAGAAGGTGAATTGTTAAGCATTATCAAAGGGACGTCTTCATATAAGATGAGAACACTTTGTTTTATTTAATTATTAAAAAATTAGTTTCTATTCGAGCACGGTATTCCTTTCTTTTTATCAGCCAATTATATATATATAATTAATTCTTATTGAGTATCGACAGCCGGGACCGTCTATCTGTTGCTAAACAAATTCGAAACAGGAAACATTGCTTAGGAATCGGCAGGATCAGAACCAGTCTAACATATACCTGCTATAGGAATGGTCGGTCGAAGTTTAAGTTGATTGTATGAAAAACCTTTTTTGTTTATTAAAACAAACGTCAGCCCAAACCAAAATATAAATTCTTTGAATCGTCAATCAATCAGACTAAAAAGTTGAATTCATTTACATCACAAGAGCTCAGTCAATCAGTCACTAATTTTCTTCACTTGTCTAAGTCTAAGTATTCATGTACAGCACATAAAAGAGCTATAGAGTAGGTACAGATGCCAAGCACCATTAGTCAGTCAATCAATCAAATACGCATATAGATTTGAACATACCTGCTGGTGCGAAAGGGCTGCTGTGAAATATCATTTGATCCACGGCCTGTCCAAGATGCAAATAGCTGCGCGTTAGCTTTGTCTGCTTGTCGGCTGTCAGGGCAAACTCGTAGATGTCGCCATTGTTGAGGGTTTGGATGTAGAAATTGCCATTGCTCACGGCCAGGGCATTTATGGTGCCAGCGATGCGCTGCGAGCTTGTCGTTTTGCCATTATTCAGCAATAGGATGCGCGTCTGGCTGCCCACGCTGTGTGTGGCCAGCAAATAGGAATCGAAAAAGCAGCTCAAGTTGGCCAATTGGATTTGCGCGAACTCAGGTTGGAGCTGATCGTGGCATAAGAACTGATTCATTTCCGGCACATAAAAGTGCAGCACACGATCGCTGGTGTAAATACATATGTGGGAATCGCAGGAGCAAACGGCATTTATATAGCTACTCATTTCGACGACGCGCCAGCACATGGGCGGCGGCACGACAGCCGCCGAGAAATTGGTCAATAGTAGTCGCTTGCCATCGATAACACAGACAATGGCTGTGCCCGGCTGGCAATCGATGGCATAATGAAAGCGATGCGTATACCGTTTGCCACTCTCGAGGAGAACGTGCAGCATGTGCTCATTACCCAGACGATTGTCCCAGTGGAAGAAGGCAAGCGGATCCAGTTGCTCTTTATAGACCAGCACCTGCTTCAGATACCAATGATAATTGCCAATCGTATAGAGATAAATTGTTTGCGCCTCCTCTGTAACCGTATGCAGCGCTAGGATATCTGAATCGTTGCTCCAGCGTAGCCGCACAATTGCCTCCTCGTGCAAATCGAAGGGCAACACAAATTCGCGATGACGCAAACCGTTCTTTTCGAACAGCGCCACAATTGATTTGCTGGGCAGAATTTGCGGTTGGGCAATCCAATTGCCGCTGGGACGCCAGGCGATTGGTGTCTGCAATCCATTCCACTTTTCCGCCGTATATTGCAGCTTGCCCTCGCAGTCGTAGACGCTGAAGGTGCGACCCACCTGGGCGGCCACATAGGAGACGGCGAAATAGGCGCCATCACCGCGCCAGGCAATCTGCACATCCTGTTGGCAAATAGGTCGTATATAAATAAATATATGTATACAAGCAAATATTACAAATCGTATTAAATAAAATCTAACCGCGAATAAAAAACAAATAAATTCCAAGCAAATGCAATTTTGCGTCTGTGGAAAAAGCAGCCACCTAGAGCTTAGTCAGTCTGTCAATCGCGGCACTCACCTGTGGTAACTGCTGCACATCTTCAGGTGGTTGGAACTCTGCGGACTGTTTGGCCGCCTGTTTACCGGCCGTGCCATGGAACTGTGTCTCCTTTTTGCCCCAGCCCACGTTCACGAACTGCTGATCGTCCGCGAGTGCCGCATCTAGCGGCTGCTCGCCCAGTACATCATATGTGCAGGTCATGACGACCACATTCTTTGTTTTGGTTATAAAGGCAACCACCTCCTGGTTGGGTGACCAGGCCATGCACTCAATACCCACGTCGCAGTAGGTGCCCTCGCTCTGTGCCAGTGTGTCGGGTTTGAGGATTAGCACCTCGCCAGCGCCCGTGGCCACACATATTACGTTGTCGAGCTGCAAATACTCTGCGCCGACTATATCCGGCAGTTCGGTTATAAGTTTTGGCGCTTCTCCATCGCCGGCTTCAATGTCTACGGCGTAGATTTTGCTGTCGGTCACAATGAATGTGATTTCTTGGCCACTACGTTCGTGATCCGGTTGGAGCAACAGTTGTCTGGCATTTTTAACGCCTGTATTCTGTTCCTTGCAATATTGCAGTTTCAAATTGCGCATATTTTCTTTATATTATTTTGTCATGCAATGACAACAACGTGCGCACAAGTAAATACCACATAAAATACTCTGAATGACTTTTATATCGAATGAACCACTTATCGGAGAATAATCGAGTGTAACAATTAATAAGAAAAAACCAAAGCCCAAACATTGTTGTTGGCACATTTAAAGCTCTTCTCAAAACAATTCCTTAGTATAAATGTATATTGTTGTATAAAAATTAAAATAAACATCAGTTATCGAACTTACATATTTACATCACGATATTTCTACTATCGTTGGCTTGCGCAATACGTCATCAATGTGTAAGAAGAAGCAAGTAGGCAGGGCGCCATACTGATATTTAAAAATACTTTACATCACTAAAAGCAATGTCTGAAATAATAAAAATAAGCCAACAAGTTACTTTTTTATATTTGTTTAGTCTTCTATTTTAATTTTCATAAAAAATAAACATAACGATAACATATTTAAACTATCGCTTCTAGCGCTACTGCGTCAGCAATGATCAAATTTCTGAATAATAAACGGCACTGTTTATGGCTTAATGTAATTTAATTAAGTTTTGTATTATAATGAATTTCATAATGAAGGGAGCAAAATTTTATTTAAATTAGTTCCACTAATATTGATAAGAAATATTTTAGTTTTCACGTCACGACCTACAGAACTTACGCCTATCGATAGCTGTTCATTGCGTTATTTAGTAACTCGATAAGCCTTGTAAATTTGGTAATAAAAAAAACGCACAGATATCATTTATCGCACACTTGATATCGATATACCGATATAATATCAACAATCCTAATACTGGGCAAAGATGGCTGCTTTATTTTTCATGGAATTTTTTGTTGCTGTAAAATTAGTACGTTCTGTGCGTTAAAACATTGTTGTGTGCATACGTGTTACTACTCTACTTAAACGATGCCAGCTGCGCGGGCATAGGAGTAAAAAAGAAAACAGCATAACAAATGTGTGGCAGGTAGCAGGAAAAGTGTAGAAAATTCCACACAAAAAACCAGCAGCAAGTTGGGCCATATATATATTTATATACATATATATGTATATATATATCTATCGGTGTGCGGGCGTCGGTGTGTGTGTGCGTGCAAATGTTTATAAATAATTTATAATATTCAAAATTAAAATGTGCATGTGTACGATCACTGCTTGATGGGCGACCAGCGTCGACGTCGTCGTCAGCAGCAGCAGCAGCATTGAAGGCGTAGTGGAATGCCAGACAGCAGCAGCCGCCGCAGCAGAGCAATAGGAAGCAGGTAAGGTGTAAAATGTGAATGTAAATGTGCATATGTATGTGAGATTTTGGTGTTGTTTTGACATAAGGACTACCCAACGCCCTTTTTGCGCGTCGTGCTGTCTGCTTGATATCATTGCGTATGTGTGCGTACGTGCGTGTGGGTGAAAGTGACGAAAGCTGGCGCAAAAAGGATAAGGCAATCAGCCTGGCTGCTGTGCCAATAAGAACTAACGTAATTTGGTGCTCTCTTTTTTTTATCTGCCATCTTCCCGCATTCCACGCACATGGGCACGCCTTGGCAGCTGTCTCTGTCTGTCTATGTTTGTGTGATTGAGAGCAGCTTTTGTCTGTGTTTGCCTAATTTTTAGTTGTTCAAAATTGGATAAAATATTTTTGGCAATGTTGATAAAATTGCATAAACCTCACACATGTGTTGCTGCAGTGATAAAAACCATAAAACGCAAACAAAAGATTTGATTAAAAATCAAAACAAGATTTTTTATGTTAGTTGTCTGAGGTCAAACTATAGTTATATGTAAACGCTTTGAGAAATCTTTTGAAAGTATATATACATACACACATATATATGCGCATAAGTTTGTGTACATATATTTGTTTTTGCCTTATTTGACGCAGCCAAAAACGAAAGCAAAAAAAAAACAACAACAAACTACGCATTTTTGTTCAGTAACAACAGCAACAACAATAACAACATCAGCACAACAAAAACACGTTTTACAACTCTGTGCTCCAATGGCGCGCAATTTTGTTGCTGTTGTTGCCTTTTCGGCTTATTGTGAATAGCAAGCGAGGCTTCACATTCACATACACACAGCCACGCACACACATATGCACGCATGCAAAACAAGCGGCTCCATGAATGACCAAGTTCAATACAGCTACAACAACAACAGACAGCAATAATTAACGGCAATAACCGAAGCGTAGCGCATCGTAGTTTCCGTTGTAGTATATGTATGTGTATGCGTAGCCTTGTTGTTGTAGTTGCTCTTGCTGGTCAGTCGGCAAAATTGTTCGTATCGCTGACGTCACACATTTGAAGTTGTTGTTGCGCCAAAGCTTTTGCTTTGTTTGTATATTGCAATGCGCGTGGGCGTTGTACACAGGAGCCTGCCTCTGTCTCTGGTTTGTGTGAGTGTGTGTGGGTATGTAAATGTCAGAATTGCGTGAACTTTTGCTGCATTGGTGTTTGTGGATTTCATACGCTGATCTTACAGTGTGTTCTAATTTATCATCTGATTGGCTCGCTGGTGCTGTCCAATGGCAAGCGATATTAAAAGATGCTAACGATTAGTGTTATATTTTTAATTAGCTTTGACCTTTCGACTCTTATCGCATATTGCAATGTGACATTATTTCTGCACAATATTTAACATTGTTTACATAACTAAAGTAAAAGCCAGCGCTTATCTCTTCACACATGTACATAAATATACATGTACATTATGTTATCAGTCGTCCGGCGCGTGGGTTTTCATGGAATTACATTGCGGCACCTGTCGTTATAGTTATCATCGTTATCGTCGCGCAAATTGATTACCGCCAAGACACGCAGCAGAGTAAAAGCAACTTTGTTGTTGTTCTTTTAAGTCAATATGTATTTTCGTTGTGCTCGTTTTTCGCATTTGTTTGCATTTTGCTCTCGCTGCATATTTGACCTGAGCTTTTCGATTGATTTTTGTTTGCCTGCGCTTCTTCCTTTCTTTACTTTGTATATGAGGCTTTTGTTTGTGTTTTACGTGAATTTGCACACAGATTTATTTTTAGCACACTTCGGCTGCTGTCAGTTTGTCTGTGTGTGTGTTCCAGTGTTGTCAGATCTGGCTCAAGTGAGATTGCGGGAAAACAAAGAGCGAGAGGAAAATAAGCAATTAATGGATTCAAAGCCAGAAGTTATCAAATAGATTGTAGAAGAGATGTGATATATTAAAATATTTCAATATTTCGGTTCTTCTTGTTGAATTTAGCCTTTTACAGCTATTTTGCTCAAAATTAGCATTTTAGCTGCTCCAAAGTGGGCAACACTGGTGCGTGTGCGTGTAGAGGGCTAGCTTGTTGCAGTTGTTGTTCGAATTCCATTGCGAATTCCAATGCAAGCAGCCTACCACTGTTGATGACGTCAGCAACAGCTCTCTCGCCCCAACTCGCTCTCTCTTTTTGTGGATGGCATCTCCCTCTTTTTTCGTATGCAGTTTCTCTATTCACATCTGACTGCTAAACTTGCACAGTTAGAGTTTGGTGTGGGCGAAGGGGGGCGGTCGTCAAGTGTTAACTGTTTATGCGCTGGAAATATGCACATAAATGCGAAGTAGCGAAAATTGGCAAAATATCACGAACTGCGCTGTAACAACAACACAAACAGAAACAATAAACAGCGCATTTGTTTTTTATGCATGTCTGCAGTTTTTATTGTTCTTTTTTTTTGCTTAATTCCTTATGCAACAACAACATGAACAACAGCTAGCCTGCGAAACGTAAACAAAAGGAACGAAAATTGAAAATTGACATATGAGACATGACAGACCCAGCGACAAAAGCAACACAAACGACGAAATTAATTAAAATTGCCAGCCGCAACAGCGGGCAAAACAATTAGAACGTATGCAAAACAAAAAACAAATAAAAAGCGAGACAAAAGTAAATTATAATAAAAAAGAAAATACAGGAAGAAAACGATACACCAAGCGAAGGCAAATTGATAAATAAATTGAAGGGAAAAAATTAAATTGACTTAATTCAGATCTAAAATTAAGGGGTAATACATAATCACAAACAAAACTATGTGATTATAGAATAAACTATAGTTTACGTTGTTTACCTTCTATCTATTACATTAAATTATAGGGTATTTGTAGTCGATCTGCAATATAATATAATATATAACACCATTCTAATAAAATGGTTTTTGATTGCATTAAATAATTTCATTTTTCACAATCTCTTTGTCCATTCAAATTATTTAAAGTATTTATTTCAAAGCATTTGAAAAGCACATCAGCTGTCTCGCTCGCACAGTGAAGCTTTCGCACAGTCAACGTTGGCTTTTTTTGTTTAATGTCATTTGACAACAAATTGAAAACCAAAAAACAACATCAAGTGACTTACTTATTTTGTCGGCCAACAAATATGGTCAAAACGTCAAAAAGAATCGCTGAAAATTGAGCAACATTTGTTATCGTAAATTATGCTTTGGCAATTAATTTAAAAGCCAAAAATTGCTACCAAAGCCGAGCGCTGCGTTTACAAGTTTCCATTGCATGCGATAAATGTGTGTGTACGCATATTTATCCATGGCTGCATAGGTGCGTCTCTCAAGCGAGAAACTAATACACTTCAATCGCATGAGAGCGCAGAGACCAAAAGAGCTTTACTTGAACTCCAGGTGCAATTGGTGTGTGCGAGAGTGTGTGTGTGTGCCTTGAGAGTAAAATGCATACTGCTCCCTAGATGAGAGCGCAATCACGAAATATAGCTTTACCTGCGCTCCAGCTGCATTTGCTGTGAGTGAGAGAGTGTGTTTGTGTCTTGAGAGTAAAGTGCATACTACATGTTGGATGAGACCGCAATCACGAAAGAGAGCTTTACTTGAGCTCCAGCCGCAATTGTTGGGAGTGAGAGTGTGTGAGTGTGTCTTGAGAGTAAAGTGCATACTGCATGCTAGATCAGCAGAGCGCTGTTAGGGCGCTAACGCTCTCGCATACCCACAGCCAAACTCGACTTAACAGCCGCTCGCTGCGCTGGGCTCTCTTCTGCTTGAGCCGCCTCGACTTGATGCCGGTCGC